CGTCCAGTAGCATATGGGACAGCTTACAGTGGTGGACAGGTTCATGGGTTGTATTGGATATAAATCATGTGAAGGTGAGCGTAAATGAAGTTAGTGATCCAAGTGCACATGTACCAATCCCCACCAGTGAGGTTCAGCTTGTAGGTGATGCAATTCAACACTTTATTGCTTGGCCAAAGAAGCTGGTAGAGTTATGTACTAAAGTTGATGTGGTATGTATACTGAAAATATTTCTATTTTAAAATAGTAAGTAATTTACTTTTTAAAATAATAATTCTTACTTGTATTATAATTCACAGTCAAAAGAAAAGACCAAATTGACTTTTCATTCGGGTGTGCAATCCGTTCATCAACAATTCACTATACCTGATGATGATTCTTTGACTGATGGATGCAAAAAGGCCTTTCCAATAGCTCGCCATTTTGAACACCCTCTGTGGTCCATGTGGCTCGTGGTATTATGGGCAACATTGACTATGACTTGCACCTTCTAAGTGATGAGATAATGCGTTTCTTAAATATGGAGACCATCGATGTTTCTTCTAATTCAGTTCTTTATGAGGTAATAAGTTCTTTAGTATTATTTATTCATAATAGTTTTATATTTATATAGTTGGTAATCTATATATAATTGGTTGTGTTTGTGAGAATAGGGTATTTACATTAGTTTTGAGTTGGCATCAAAAGACACGTATGGCTTCCTAGATCCATATTGGATTCAACCACAAATGAATAATATGGAAGACAGGAAATCATATATAAATGCCACCATGCAGTCGGGGAAGAAATTGGTATACTTAGCCCCATATGTTCTCAAGTAAGTATTAATTACGTTTTAAATAAAAGTACTTATATATAATATATTTTATTATATATTATATTCACTTAAAACTAATAAATTATTTATTTGTAGTGAGCATTGGATGTTGATGGCGATTTGTCCTCGACTAAATGAAATTTTTTGGTTTGATTCACTTGGTCATGGGCCGCGTGAAGACATTAAACATAT